GAGCGGCATTCATGGCTTGAAGTGTCACTGTTGCATGCGCGCTGAGCTAGCTGAGCTGGCTAGCTGTCTGTGAAGTTTTTTCGAAATCGGAACGATCGCTTTTTTGCTTCTGGATTTTGACGACGGGTAAGAAGTTGACGGGTGAATGGTAGAGTTCTTGGACACTAGGAAATTACTGTAAAAGTATCACTTGCCCGAATCGGGCAAGTGATAATTTGATTTACTTGCCCGACGGCTCAATTTGGTTGCCCCGGGACGTCGGGCAAGCGGGTTTGTCGCGCCCTGCAACCATTTTTGAATTCTTTTTTAGAATTTGACAAACTACCAAAAAGGCCTAATTTAAGATTGTTCATAGTGTGATAGTTCTGCCGAAAGTGGTCTTTATTCCAAGACTATGAAAGGTGTGGTGATTAGCACCAAGGTCAAAGTCTAACAATAATTTGCAAATATTGATTTGATTTCTCCCCCACTTACGTGGAGATGATAGGAAGGAAGGGAGAGAGAGAGAGGGAGAGGGGGAGAGAGAGGGAGAGGGAGAGAGAGAGGGGAAGGGAGAGAGAGAGGGTAAGGGAGAGAGAGAGGGTAAGGGAGAGAGAGAGGGGAAGGGAGAGAGAGAGAGGGGGGAAGGGAGAGAGAGAGAGGGGGAGGGAGACAGAGAGAGGGGAAGGGAGAGAGAGAGAGAGGCTACTTTTCGACCTTGCCGGCATGAAAATAACATTCTAAAATTTGTTTTACTTTGAACACTATGCAAATTTAAAGGGGCTCTTTTCTGATTTTCGGGGGCTCTTTTGGGCATTTCGGGGGCTATTTCGCCCTGAGCCCCCGTGTATTTTTTTCACTGAAGAGTGCTTTGTTTTCAGCGAGGCATGACAATCAAACAGGTATGAAATGTAAACAGAGAAAGACAGAGAGAGCCTGTAGGCTGTAGTACCATTACAAAAAACAAGACAACTGAGGGATGGATGCCGCTGTTATTGACCAGGTAGAATGTTAAATCCACATAAAGTAGGCCCATTTCACACAACCCTGAAACCATTTTGAAGAACCACAGTTTATTTTAAACTGCCGTTTGCATTTCTGGAAAACCCCATGAAAAACAATTGGTGTTTGCTCATTCTGGGTTTATTTATGAGCAGTGCGCATACGCGACTTGTCGCTCCTCTGCATGCGACCGCACAAAAATGAGGATAGTCACGTGACCCCAAAACGGAAGCATACACCGTTGTTTTTAGAGTGAGCATTAACACTGCAAAAGTTGATTAAACAACTGCCGGCGTTTAAAAAAAAATACACTTGTTTCTGTTTTTTCACAGTGTTTACTGACATTAGCCTAGCAATTCTGACAAAACAATGATTTTTGCTTACAGTGTGAATGCAGCTAATGACTGCATAGCATGAACACTCTTCATGGATCATTACAAGCGAGCGAGACGAGCAGGACTGTGTAAATACGAAGTAGTGTAAATGTTTGATGAAATACCTGTCAAACTGATTGCATTACCTATCACAGTTCTCTGTTGGTGGGACTACATGTATACTGTATGCTGTGTATATGCAGTGTCAATTGATGGTTCAGGAACAATAATCTAATAATAATGATGATGATCACTAACCTGGGTATTCTTTGAAAACCAATAACATAGAGTGGATTAGTAAATGATTTACTACCTAAGGTAATTTAATATATCAAATATGCAGGCCAAAGTCCTAAGAGAAGACTGGATCATAATCACTCATAGATTAGGCCTACACTGTACGTGTAGGTTGAACAAATTTAGCCTGAATGTTAGACATTATGAAAATAAAATGTAAACAAGTAAGCCTGCCAAATCAAATATGATTTTAAAAAATCATAGCTGACTATTAAAAATCGATTTGAGATAGCAGAAAGACACCATAATACGATGTCCCATGATGTCATGCTTTTAACTATTGAGTGTGCTTCTTCTTATTTTTATTTCTTTATTTTCTTTTTGGGGCCAATTTTGTTACCGGTAACTTCTTTGTAAATCTATTCTAAACATTCCTAAATGAAGTAAAGAATCAATGACATGCAGTTTCTCTTTCAATGTGTTATGGCCTACATGTGTAACTCAAGTTCCAAAGTTCAATTCAAAGTTTCAAACCAAGAATGAAAAACATGTACATGTGCATTTATTCATGTCACTCCAGTTTATTGTGTGTATTACTGTACAGTACTTATACAAAAAACATGTACCGGTAGCCTATTCAGGACAGTACGTCTTTATCCCACTTCATTCACAAAATGTAACTGGGTCATGCAATGAGATCAATTTCATCATAAATTCAGTACCATGACATACTGTACATGTATCTTTATATCACATCAACCCTGTGATAATTTATTGCCAACACTGAACAGTGCATTCTCCTCTAAAGTTACCCCCCCCCCCCTCCCCTCCCTCCCTCCCCTCCCTCCCTCACCATCACTCAATCTCGCAAACACAATGTCACTGCTAAATTAATAATTCTATAAAGTGTATGAGAGAGGATGTGATGTGGATTCCATGATCGTTTCATTTTGTGATCGGGAGTGCGGGAGTGCGACCATCACCAAAAAATAATGCTATGTTCCTGTGGTTTTACATGTAAGTATGTGAACCTCGGAGTTGGATACAACTATTCACAAACAATAAAGAGGGTTCACACGGAACCAAAACGATTATTCAAAGTTGACTACAAGTACATGCCAGGGAAAGCATTCATTTTAAATACGAGCTGGCATAACCTCAAAGTTTATTGTGTCTGCACCACACATTACATTGAGTCGGGACCCCCTACTGCTAATATTGCGCTAACCTTTAGATCTGTCATGGTTTGTGAATTCAGGTTAACTTAAACTTTTGTTATATACCCCGAGTGCATGGTCCCTAACTAGTATCCAAGATAAATTTCAAGTTGATAATCACAACTTTAACTTGGAGTAAACGCACTGTCATGTGAACCTCGCTAAAAAAAACTGCTGAACATGAATTCTTTCACGTCAATAGATGCAGCCCTGGGAAAGTGAATAAGATCAGTAGTCTTTTCCCCGATACTCTATTATCGAAACAAATGTAGGTACACAAACAATATTTACCTATACCTTTACAACAGGACTTTTTATACATTCTGTAAATGGTCCTGATTGAAGAAAAAGTTTTTGATTCATGACAGTTTTTATCCCAGAAATTACTGTCATTAAAAAACTACCTAAAAATGTTCATACTTTCTTTGCTTCAATGACTACAATTAACTTTGAGCTCCAGATCATTTCCTCAAATTAGAAATTACTTCCTATCATGCAACTAGCCATAACTTTATAATCAAATGACCAGAATCTTAATCTCCTACATGCAAATTTCCTTTTGGCTTTGGCTTATGGATGACCTTTCCATGGGGTCATGAAAAATTATAGCCTATATTCAGAGCTGCCAACCTTGTGCGACCAAAAAAGGAATCATGATGGCCAAAAAAAGGAATTTCAAGCAAATTATCGGCATTTTATTTTTTTTGAGAATATTTTTCTCTTCAAGTATGTTTTAAAATTAATTTTCTATTGAATTTGTGATCAAATCACCATTTTAGGGCAGTTGTTTGACGAGCGGTATGTTAAAAAAAAAATTAAAAAAAAATTAAAAAATAAAAAAATTATTAAAAAACATATTTTATAAAGAAAAAACGTAATACCGTAATTTGGAGGAAAAAACGGAGTAATTCCGGCAAAAATGGAATGGTTGGCAGCTCTGTTTATTGCTCATTCAATTAAATTAAATTAAATTTATTTATTTTGCATTAAAACTCAAAATAAACAATACATAACAAATGAACAGCAAAATCAGAAGGACCCCAAGATAAGCAAAGCTTCTGAGAATGAGGCCCTGTACAAAAATAAACAAACGAGCACATATGGGCCTACATCTTTTAATACAGGATGATCACATCTAGCCTTGTAAATCACCGACATTCAAGTCATATTTTGAAGGTCCGAACACCAGACTAGTCTGTTTATGGATTGTAGAATTGATGGCCTTGACAGTCAGATACAGACAGCTACACACAAGTTCAACAAAATACAGAACAAAGTTCAATCAAGGTCGATAAAATATCGGTCGCAGACTCACAGTTGCTTTTTTTTTTTACCCGACTAGTGAATACAATTTTTAAACAATTCAAGGGTACGGAATGAGGAATATATCGCTCAATCAATGAAAAAGAAAATCAGAAGTAAAAAGTAATCTTGTCGGTATAAAAGGGAAGGTGCAATGAACAATCATATTTCAATCAAAAAGTCAAAATATGTGTACAGTTCACCTGTATGAACATGTAAGAGTAGTTTTATAATGTAGGCTTCTTGTAAATCTCCAAATTATTTCCTAAAGTTTTCAATTCATACATATTTTCATCCCCTATAGTGTAATCATGTCCATCTCTGGAATCGTATTAAAGGCCCACTGCACTACTTGTAGCTACTTGCGCCCTCTATATAACAAACAATGCCTAATCGGTGACCACTGGTCCCCCATGATCCTCCCTTTCTTACATTATGTTAACTGAGAGCTGAGTTGATGAGATAACCACCTGTCCAGTGACCTTGCAGAGCGGTCTAACCCTCCTGTAAACTATGGCAGATAAGCTTTAATACTTTTATGAGCTATGTAATAATCATATCTTGTTACCATCACAATCCTCTCACAATAATTTTTGCCCTACTTCCAACAAAGTGTGTGTTTATTGATTGTCAAAAGTACATTATAACACTGCACTAGTCTTCAAAAATAAACCCCACAAAAATAATTTCAGGGATATTTTGAAAGCTGCGCTAATTAAAACACAAAATGTGCTTGTTTTACAAGAAGAATGATGACTACGGTAGGCTACATACATGTACACGTAAACTGTTTACCGTCAACTCCCCCCCCCCCTTCTAAAAAAAAATGCCCCCAAAGTCCACATAGTTTTAGAGGTAACAAAACATGTGGGCGTTTTGCACAGTTACACATACACTGCAAAAACCAGGGTGTTAAATATTCAACACCAGCATGGAATAGAAAAATATCAACACCCTTGGTGTTCATTTCATGTCCGATTGGCGAAAAATAACACCAACGGTGTGAAAATATTCAATTACAGGCTGATGGTGTCATATTTGGTGTTATAAAATCGCACATGCGCATAAGCTAGAGAATTCGACGAAAATCATTGGACGAAAGTTGTCATATGATCCGATATGCGCCTCTGCAGCTGCGCGCGCACAGCTAGACGAGAGCATGTGGCTAGAGAATTTCACTGGCACTGACTTGAAGTCTTGATTCTGGAGTAGTAATTCTTCAAATTAGGCCTAGATTCTAGATGTGAAGTGATCGAAGTGCATGCAACCATGCCATTAAGCGTCAGGGTCTGTTCAGCGGATCGAAGTATTAGAAAATACCTGCCTATAGATCCAGAAGACACAGTAGGATTCTTTGAACTCAGTAAGTGTACATGGTTCTTGTTTGTTATAAACTTTTATAGATCTAGCCTAGGCCTATAGTATTACGTGTTCGTCAGCTGGCGCTAGCCGCGCCTGTCGTTGGGTAGCCCAGGCCTAGAGGTCTAGGCCTACTATGCCTTGGCTGTCCGGCCGGGTTGGGTATCCGGTCAGCATGATGCCATTTAATATTTTATGGATTTCTGAAAAATTATCATTGATAAATACTCCAAAGGGCAAACATTCATGATAGATCTAGATCTAGGTCTAGAGTAGGCCTAGATCAAATTGTTATTTAATACATAGCCTAGGGTCTATTTGTTTCAAAATGTAAAGGAAAAATCAGTAGATCTAGACCTAGTCTAGGGCCTAATCCTGGGTTTTTGCAAAAATATCAGGTCTAGGCTAGATCTAGATCTAGATCTAGAAGTCTAGACTAGATCTAGACTCTAGATTTCTAGGCCTAACAGTTAGATCTAGAGTTCTAACGTTAGATCTGCATTGACATTAGGCCTAGATATCTAGATCTAGATCTAACGTTAGATCTAGACTAGATCTACCCCATTCATGTAATAAAAAAAATGCAAAAATAATAAACATGGAAATTCAATCTCTAGATCTAGATCTAGATCTAGACTATTTGTAGCGCACACAACAGTCCAAACTCCACCCCCGGTTGAGCTTGATGTCCCATTTAACAGTTTTAGGGTGTATTATAAAATGGCTCTAGATCTAGCCTAGTATTTTAAGCATCGTGATTGGTCAATACGCGTCACATGGCATTGACAAATTTTTGATGCAAGCACGATTTTGCAGAAATGAGTGCAGAAAAAGCGCAGTAAAAAGTTATATTGCACGGTGCGTACGCGTGACCATGGGGATCCAGTGCGCGCGCGTACGCGTAGTACTAGTACTAGTACGCTCCCTCGAGTGCATTGTAGGCTATAGGCTACGCGTAGCTAATATTGTACGCTCCAAGATCCACCATGATCCCCAGCGCAGCGTACGCGTTAGCTCTAGCTAGAGCGGGGTATTATTAGAAAGCAAATTTTTGTTTTACTTTTGCCTTGGATTTAGACCCGTTTTGACTTTTGGATTTTATAATGAAGCCAGGAATTTCAGCTGTCTGATGTAGACTCGTCTCTAGACACCCTATGCATTTTATTTTTAATCAAACAATGAATCCTGTAGACTTTTTGGTAAGCCTGCAAGGTCTTAGACCCTCATTTTATTTCTAGAACCAACATAACTCTAGATCTAGATCGAACTCTCGTATACTTAAGATCTAAACTTTTGTTTGTTGCTGTTTGTGTCGCTATTTTATAAAACAAATAACGCACTTGACCCTGTTGTGCGAAACGTAAATGCAGTGTTCGCTCGGTTTCTTCAGATGGTTCGCACTGTCAACTCGCCGCAAGCGGCTTGTTGCACAGAGCGGCACCAATATAAAGAAACCTCGCGCGTACTGCATTCACCGCTATTGCACTCTGGGACGTGCGTTATTTGTATACTATAGCACAGTTGGGCTTGTAGCAGCAGTTTTTGCAGCATTCGTTTATTATGACTGAGCCATCAATCTGTAAGAAACTGAAAAGTGCACTGTGATATTTATTCTCATTTATTTAATCTCTCCTACAGTCAGAAGAAAATTCCACATAAGGGATGGGGAAGATCTCGTACTTGTGGATGAACAAGAAGGGTTTGGTATAGACGATGACGTACTAGGAGATGTGGTGACCAGCAATCCCACAGTCAGCCTCATGGTGCTAAAAGAAGATGAAGAATGGTCTGGTAAGTTTTGGATAAAGTGCATTATAATACAAAATTGCAAATCCCTGCTAAATGTGATATCATCAGTAGCGGATTCAGGATTTTAAAATAGAGTTAGAGGGGTGCAAAGAGCATATTAAAAATAAAGAGGGGGCGCAGATCACAATTTAACCTTAGTAATGTGTATGTTCACGAGGTAATTCTCAAAATATAGAGGGGGCACATGCCGGGTGCGCCCCCTGCTGGATCCGCCACTGATCATTGTATGTGCATGCATGTTAAAATGAGTCAGCGTTCGTCTGGTAGCAGGTACAGTGTAGGCTTGTATGCTGTATAGAGTCTAGGGAATTAACATTTTGCTTTTCATAAGCAATAAATGAATGTGCAGTTCAAATTACAGGCACAGGTCTCAAAACTTGGTGGAGGAAAAAAAAAACCTACCCTTTTTTGATGACGTAACCTTGCCACAAGAGCCGTGATTTGTGGGCGGTCAATGATCTAAATTCGAAGTCTAAAGATTATAAAAATTACAGATTCTTACAAATTGAATTTTTTAACAATGCAAACTTGCATTTAAAAAAAAAATGTCTTTAATTTAAATTGTGACCCCACCGAACAAATTTGAGGAGGGGACTGTGAAACGGGCGCCATACTTGTGTGTTTCTGTGCGTGTCTGTGTATGATCTTTGACCTTTTGCTTCAAAATCCTACAAAAGGCCACTCCTATGCCATTTCTCATCTGATTTTGATTCTGTTTGCTTTGTGTGATAGCACGAGGTGAGGGCTATTGGACCCATAGAAACCAATAAGTTTAATGGTTTCAATAGGGAAAGGGAAATAAAGGACCCATAGAAACCAGCAGAAAGGTTATATTGCTCCAATAGAAATCCAACACATACTTCTGTTGGTCCATTAGAAATCCATCAGAAAATTTTTGCTGATCCAATAATAGGAATCCAACAATTTCTTTCTGTTAGTCTTATACTTATAGAAAACCATCATGAAAGAATTCTGTTGGATTATATTGGACAGACCTATTGGTTTCATTGGGAACAGTCCAATGGAAAAGTAATTGAACATTTCTAAATGCTAGTATTATAATTCACTTAGACATGAATGAATGCATCAATTAACAAATTGTCCATTAAAAAATGCTCAAGTATTATAAAATTAACAAATGTGTCAGACCAATATAACTTAGCTGGTTTCTGATGGTTTTAGACTAATAGAAATTTATATGCAGTTGGACCTCCCTTATCCAGTCTCCTTTATCCAGATCACTTGAGAATTTGCCTATTTTACTCAAATAATTAGCGGAACCAACAAAGATTTCAAGCATACTCGTAATATCGCAAACTATTTGGGTTACTTATATACATTATTCCCAACATTGTTATTACACATTCAATTCAATTTTTCATGATCAGAAACATGCATTCATTCAAACTCGGCAACTGCATGTTTTGAATATAGGATTCCCTTATGCATGTTAGTGCTGATCCCAAGTGTGGGGATAAAGGAGGCCCAACTGTATTCAATTCTACCAAAGTTTAAGATGCCAGTATTCATTGTTTTTTAACAGTGCTCATGGCTTTATATCTTTTTTTCTTTATTAAAGGTTCAGATGTACATAGCATCACAAGTGCAGACACTATCAAGGTGGATACCAGCTCCTCTTCCCTGAGTAGCTCAGAATCTGATTCAAGTTTTTGCTCCAGTAGAAAGAGGCCACGATTAAATGCCCTCAGTGAATCAGGTGCAATCACTGACAACTCTTGTGAGGTAAGGTTAAGAAAAAATTGTTTGCTTCATTTCAATCTCAGCTATCATAATCAACATAATATAAGGGACTCATCACCTATACGGATTTCATATTATTTAAAATTGAAAATGATATTGGGAGAAAAAAAAATACATCTAGTGTAGTTAGAACTAACATTGTAAATTAATATTTCCTGTAGTAAGGTTTTTGTAATGGTATAGGTTAACATTAGGCAACTAATTTGATTTCTTTTTTGGTACATCTAAGCTGACGACTCCTGTAAGATATTGGCCATCTTTTTTGCTTCGTCATCTGTCATAAGTTTTCCATAAACTTTTACAGTTTCATTTTCTTCCAATGGGTGGTATGATTTCAAACAAATGATATTATGTCTAGAGGTTTAAATTGAATTGCCAAATTTTATGAAATGTTTTAGAAATGGGAAAGAGAAATGAGGTAAATAATCATCGAATAATACATCTCATGATCTGGTTCCATATAGACCTCTGAGGGTATCAAGGAAAAGGACTAATATCAAAATTAAAAAGTTGAAGATGAGATGCATCGATTGTTACATAACCTTTATTGTAGTGTTCATGATGATCCCAAACATAGAATAGTTTCCTGCTGTATTGTTTGTGGATATGAAAGTAATGAACACTGTTCAGGGCACTTTAGACGGTCTCCCCATGGCATTGGGCTTGCATGTCTATATTAAGTAGAAGGAACTCGCATTACAATAAACACAAATTTACCTGTAGCCTCATGTGTCCCCTCGTGTGTGTGTATGTGCGTGTGTGCATATGTGTGTTTGGGGTGTTTGTGGGAGTGTGTATTTAACAATATTTAAACTATTTCAAGCTCTATAAATAAATATATTATTATTTAGAATTTATGATTATTGGCCATATATCAATTTTAATATCATAATGTACCTATATAAATTCATAGTCATTCATAAAATTTCGTGCCCTTAGAAAGGTCAGTATGAATTAAAGTGCCTGAAAGTGCATTATAAACTCAATATGTTTATTTATGACTTAATGGGATGATTTACCTGTTTGCAGTTTGTACAAGAAATTTTGCGGCACAGAGGTGATGCCATTCTCCGAGAGTATGAATTGACTGGAGCACTTCAAGATAAAACTAGACGGCAGATGATTAACCTTTTGGTAGCCCACATGCAAGAACACTATGGGTAAGTGCCAGCAAATTTTCTTTTATGATTGTGTAAATGCACATAATAATTATCAGGTACTACCAATTATGTGAAAAGAAACTGAGGTAACATGGTCAACTTTAAAGGAATTTGTTGTCTCTTCAAAATCATTTTTCAAAATATTCATTTTTTATGCCTCCGCCACCGTCAGGTGGTGCCGGAGGCATTATGTTTTCGGGGTTGTCCGTCCGTCCTTCCGTCCGTGCGTCCGTGTGTCCGTCCGTGCGTCCGTCCGTCGGAAACTTGTTACCACGATAACTTCAGAACTACTGGACGGATTTTTACCAAACTTGACACAAGTATTTATATACATGTGAGGATGAACTGATTAGATTTGGGGTTTAGGGGGTCAAAGGGCAAAGGTCACAGGGCCAAACAAAAATTGTAAAAAATTACCCGAAAAAAGCTCGATATTGCTATAACTTCAGACAAATTGAACTAATTTCTTTCAAACCTAGCTCAATTATGTATTAGCATGGGAGGAAGAAGATTTTGGGTTCACGGGGTCAAAGTTCATAGTGCCCAAAATTTGTAAAATCACCCAAAATGTTTCGGATTTCCAATGGCATGGAACAAGCAATAATATCTTTCTGATCGCATGATGGCAGAGGCTTAAATTTTGACCGTGCGTGGTCGAAGATTCATCTAGTTTTAAATGTGATTTGCACATGATGGTTATCAGGTATTACCAGTCTTGTGAGTGACATTTTTGGGTCATTACGTTAAAATAGATTAATGCCGTAGATGTTAGCGGCCTCATCGTCATGAGGCCTCACTTTATAAATGTATTATGAACTAACCATGTGATATTTTGAGATTTTAAAGTAATAAAAAAATACTAAACTATAGCAAATTATATGATGCAGACGAGACCACTAGGGGTATGCTACTTGTTATCAACATACTAAGTTCTGTTTTAATAGAGCCAGTCATGAGTCCATATGACTGTAATTCTCATACAGGAGATGTGCTTTCTTATTTCACAGCAAACATCCAAAAGCAGCTATGAAAACCAAATATGCCATGGGGATAGTGAATCTGTTTCCAAGACTCAAGGATCCGTTTACTAGCACAGGTCATGTAAGTATTATAATCTGGGCCCATATTCAAATAAATACTTTGACTAAGTAAGTTTTTTTACTAAGTATTTTGGCTAAGGTATTTACTTATTTTGTATTCAATTCAGTTCTTAGCATTTTACTTTAGTAAGTCAAAATTTAAGTAAAATACTTATTGAGAGGCATTGTGACATCACGATTTTGTGACCAAATGATGCGCAATCAACACATTGCACCAAAAATGCGCTACTTCATAATTCTCCGCAGCTGAGAGTGACTGCGCACATACATGTAAGCCTTCATCTACCAGTTAAATTTGTAAATGCTTTGGCTTAAGTCTCCTCTAGAGGTGTCTTAAATTTAAAGTAAAATACTTAGCCAAATTTATGAATTGAATACCAAAATCTGCAAAGTATTTTATCCGAGCAAAAATCTAAGAAAAAATATTTATTTTTCTGACTGAAGTATTTAATTGAATATGGGCCCTGCATGGTCCTCTCTGATAAGAAGGTATTGCATTCCATTAATCAAAAGAAAACTTATGATACTCTGATAAGATAAAAATACCCTCAAAATCTCTCTAAATTATATTCTGAGAAGAATTTTTTTTTTTTAAATTTTATCTTGTGTAGGTCACACTCCACCATCTTTGGCACAATATCCAATAAGAAATGTATGATACCATTCTACTCTCCTTCACAACCACTCAAAACTCTTTTTTTCTTGAAGTGGGGCAGAGTGATGGCTGCTTCCTTGTATCAAAGTCAAGATGCTTGCATTATATGACACTAATGCTACTTTGCTAAAATTTCTTTGAAAACTACAATTTCTCATCACATCATTTTGTGCATCATTTCAAGGTTAATATTATCAACAAAAAGCTTATACATACATTTTCAACCACGCGGTCAAAGATTCATCTCGTTCTTTCACTTTAGGAAGCTTATTTTGATGCAAGAAGTAACACGGGATTCCTGGCTGCTAGAATAAAAAATGTTAACCGCACAACAGAGGAGAAGACATCCAACCCATTACCCAAGCCATCAAGCAGAGATGGTGGTCCTGGGAAGGTCCGAGAAGGTGACCAAGAATCTGCTCCAGGCTGCACCTATGATGAAGACCTCAACTGGTTACGACACTGTCCAACATTAGAACGTGATTCTACCCTGGTTGTTGAAAAGATGAAATCCACTTTTCCTGTTAGACAGCATATGGTCAGGGACGGACGCTCCGCATCGGATATTTTGGAACAGTTTCCTTTTGAAACTGTTCCAGGTTTGGTAAGTGTTACAAAAAAATTTACTCCTAATTCTTGATTTAGCCTCTCAGGCCTAAGGCAACAAAATTATGTGTATGGGAATTAAAGCATCAGAATTATTACTTGGCACTGAGGCATCAAATTCATATTTCTCTGTTTTATTATATATGTTTGAGATTTTGAAAATATCAGTCCGAAGATTCTGCCAGTTTTATCCTTCAATCTGTATCTGTATTTACCGCATGTGACTGTCTGTTGGTGAACAATCACCATTACTGGTTGTCATGTACCTTTGGACAGTGAGCATCAACATGAGTGATATCTAGCAAATCTAATCTATTTCAAAGGTCCAGCAAGTTTCATTCATGTATGGATTTTGTGTAGAGAGACCTTCAAAAGTACTTCTTAGTGGTTGCTATTCAGATAAATATTTGAAGAATCCCCTTTTCCTGGATCTGGGGTGTGTATATATGGGGGTCTGAGCTTTGACGGTACCTTATTATATTGCTGATTTAGTCTAACTGGGGTATCTGTACTGTAAAATTATGCATAGTTTATTTTTTCTCTCTTTTCCCCGTTTTCCTTTTACATGTATTCTTGCAGATTGAGGTAGATTTTCGGAAACTTTTTCCTGAAAATCACTCGCGTTTCCTGACCAAATGGCCCGAGTTGAAGCCCAAGGTTGTTACACTTGCAAGACAACTTCTGAAGCAGAAAGGAAACTTGACAGTGATGGAGCTTCTGTCATCTTATGACAGTTCTGATCAAAATAAAGAAGGTATTTTTGCACATTCCCTTGAATGCACCCTCCGATGTCATAAAGGGTGGAATTCTTGATGGTGGTTTATTTGAGACCATGGATAAACCATTGATAGGTTAGTTTAAATTTGAGCATATATGTGCTTCACACAAGCATGTTCATTGGACAAGTTTTAGAATACATGCAAATCTAATCCAATCCATGGTTTTGAACCAAGTTTAGACCTTGGTCTTAAACCACCATTGAGAATTCCACCAAAGAGCTTGCAGTCTCATTAAAAATGTATATTAAGGGACAAGTATGCTGAAATCACAAAAAATGACCCATCCCAATTAAAACAATTCCCCCCCCCCCCCCCCCCTTTTTTTTGTCAACTCCTCCAACAAATTATATTTATCTGGAAGGCTGGGATACAGTAGGGTTATTGGGCATCTCAAATAATGTGGACTCTTGTTGCAATGAGAATTACAAAAAATTACATTACATGCCCACTTGGCAAAGTTATTTGTAGTTGGAACATGCTCTCCATAATTCTTTTATTATATTAATTATATAATTATGAAGAAGAAATTTATATAATTATGAAGAAAAAAGTTTGTTGCATGGCCCATTGTGGAATCTTTATAAGGATTATCACATTGCCAATCATTACTTTTGAAATAGAATGAGCTTCTGTTTTGAAACAAAGCATCATGTTTATATGTTCACTTTGTTATTTTTCTTCCTCAGATATGATATGCATGGCTTATTATCTTATAATATGAACTTGAATCGACCCCACAGGACCCTGCATTTACATATTAGCAGCTTGCTTGTGTTTACTCTGTCTTTATTTGAAGATAAATGCTTTAGAATTCAGAAAATCATGATATTTTTGTTTTTCTTCATTAGTTAACTTTGAAAAATATGGTGGCCCATAGGGGACATATTTGATAAATTGTTAATTGCAACATTTGATTCCAGTATTGATGCAATTTTTGTGATTTAATCATGAAAAGGATGTCAAATTGGGTAGAAGCATGTTAAATTCAGTAGAACAAGAAAAAAATTGTAAAAAAAAAAACATGAACTTATGCTACTAAAGAGTTTGTTATATATGTGTCAACAGAGAACAATCTAGGTTAGGTGCTTTGCCATGAATGTTGCCTTCTCCCATGCATAAATATCCCGTTTATTATTTTCCTATTGATTTCTTTTTTCCCATCCCCCTTTGTATAAATTCTCATAAGAAAGAAGAAGAAGGCGTTGCTATAAGTGTCAGTAAAATTTCTCCAAGGGTGCCAAGCTGGCATCAATTGGATTTTTGGTTTAGTACCCCTAAACTGCATTAACAGCCACTTGCATGCTTTGGCTATAATATTGATAAGTCCTCGACTATATACTTATTTCTTATAATAGTTTCTTGTTACAGGCTATTTTGATTCAAATTTTAGCAGGTCAGTTTGTAATTATTTTGGTACATTTAACTTCTATTTTTCACCTTGATCAACATGTAAGCCTGTTTAATAATAACCATTTTCATTTTGTAATGCACAGGATGGAATTCCAGCACATCTGCTATCCTCCTCCTCTTGTGCCTATTGCCTCCTGCAAGCCAAGGGAAGTCCAAAGCTGCGTCAGCAAAAGTGTCCATTTCTTCAGCTCTCTCGAGGGTTATTCAATTTCAGAAGGTATTTAGCTTTTCATTACGAAAGAGAACTGTAAATATTAAGTACCGGTAATACCCTGTCACATAAAACACATTCTTGCTGCATTAAAAAAAAAGTTTCAGAAAGCATCGTGATGTGTGTTCAAAGAGAACAATTATATTGGTTTATGATCTCTTACATGAAGAGGCTTAGACTGATTTGGACAGAGAAGGTGCTCGAGAAATTTAGGCCTATTCAAAAACTTCACCCGCCTTGAAATTGGTCGGAGTAAAATAAACTAGAACAGTAGACATCAAGATTTGCAAACAAATACTAGGAACATGTTGTGTATGAAAACATAGTAACAACTTGTGTGATATATCAGGCATGTTGCCTTTGATTTTCACAGCCCTACATGGAGAATCAATAAATGAAAAGGAATATTTCATGCCACAAATTTGCTGCAAGTTAATAATAGTGCAGAAATTGCAGTATCTTTATTTTTCGTACTCCTTTTGTGGAAGTTGAAATGTCTTGACCACATTAGAAAGACCCTTTTTAATCATATACATAAAACAAGCTTTGAAAGTACTTGCATTTTTACCCCTCTACAGGGTAAGAAAAATTGTATTTCATTACAAAAAATATCATCTGATATTTTGATGTTATATCATTTGATGGACCAATTCCAATTCTTTTCTTTGATGTAAATTTGATTTGGTTTTATGTCCTACATTATTGTCCAATAACCCTTTTGTAAAAACACAATTTCCCCCAGTACTACATGTAAGGCTGTCTTTTAAAAATGTTGATCGAAATATGTTGTTCATTGAAATGCGTTGAGTATTGAAATGCGTTGAGTGCTAGTTACATTCTATACAAATAATTTGTTTTCAACACAGACAGGAGGGAGTATTCAAGCATTCCTCGACAACACAAAAGAGACCAAGAGTCAACCGTTCCTTCTGGCAATTGGCAATTCCAAGGCCCGAATCACCAACTACATGATCATTGTGGATCACAAGGCCATTCCATGTTCGGCACGCACGGTCGAAGCAGCAGTAGATTTACTCTTCAAGACCCACTTTGTCTTTGGCCTGCAGTACTGCTTGTCTCTGCGGCAGTTCTGGACTTTTGTCCAGACTGCCATTTTTGAAATCGATATCGGAGTGTCCCGGGAAACACCAAGAGTACGTGAAATTAGATCGAAATTGTTAGCACCATGATTTGCTTCAAATGCCACAAACAGTTTGCAATACCCAAATTGGTTCAACATTTGAGATTGAAACATGGAGTTATTGAAGATGGTAAAGAAGTATTGACCTGTGGGCAGGGAGCTTGTGCGAGAACATTTCATACTTTTCGAGGATTTCGGGGACATTTGCAGACTCACCTTAAAACCGATTTTCCAGATAATAAAGAGCAGTCTAATGAAAATGATAAAGTGAGTGACTTTCCTGAAGAAAGTCTTGAAAGTCTTCAAGAATACAATATTAATAATGATGAGATTGTTGAAGATCAGGATGTATATGAAGATGACATTTTATCTGTAGATACCTTGAACAGGCAGTGTGTAAATGTAATTTCAAAATTTTCAGCAAATAGTGCAAACTCTGGAAAAGTTGTAAATGATGTAGTAGAAACAACCAGTGCGATTGTAGGTGATGTAGTAAAAAGTGCATCGGCAGCCGTTACAGCTGCTTTCTTAAAACATAAGCTGCCTATAGAATCCGAGGCTTATAAGGAGATTCAAACACATTTTGCTATGCTTGAAAAGCCCTTTGAAAATTTGAATTCAGAATATAAGCGGACAAAGTATTGTGAATCAATTGGACTTGTTGAACCACAAGAAATCAAGTTAGGCATCCGATATGATAGTCGTCTCAATAAAAGAACTAAGCAGTATGAACAGATTGCTATTGAAGATACATTTGTTTACGTTCCCATTTTAGATTCTTTGAAGCAGCTTTTAAGCAATAAAGATATATTGCATTTTGCTACTCATGACCATAAGAGCACAGATGGTGTAATGAGAGATTATTGTGATGGTTCACAATTTGAGAAAACCCCTCTTTTCCATGAAGATGAGAATGCCCTCCAAATTCACTGTTTTTATGATGATTTCGAGACTGTGAACCCCATTGGTTCAAAAACAAAAATTCACAAGATAGGTGCTTTATATTTCATTTTGAAAAATCTGCCACCAAAGTATAATTCCAATCTTTCCAATATCAATCTTATAGCTCTATGGTATGCTGAAGATGCCAAGAAATATGGATTTAATGCTATTCTCAAGCACATTGTAAAAGACATTAATATCCTGTCAACAGTTGGCATTGCTCTCCCTAATGGAATTGTGAAGAAGGGGACCATTACTCAAATAAGTGCTGATAATCTTGGTGCTAATTCCCTACTGGGATTTGTAGAGAGCTTTTCTGCTCATTATTACTGTCGATTATGTGTTACAAGTAAGGAAGAGGCACAGAACAAATTCAAAGAGGTTTCAATGGATATGCGCACCAGGCAGACTTATGAGCAACATTTAGAAGAAGCTGAAGCTCAAACTACCCAGTCACATGTGTTTGGAGTGAAACAAAAGACTGTATTGAATGATTGTATTTACTTTCATGTCTTGGCAAACTTTTCACTAGATATAATGCATGATCTTTTGGAAGGCATAGTTCAGTATGAGCTGAAACTTGTTCTAGAGTATTTCATATATGAAAGGCAACCGCCCCTCTTGTCCCAAGATGAACTGAATCAGAGAGTCGCCAGCCATTGCTTAAACCGTACAGATAACAAGAACAAACCATCCTTTATTAAACTTAGGTCAGCTAGGAATGATGTTGGACAGAAGGCTATGCAAGCATGGTGCTTGATTCGAAATCTGCCATTCATAATTGCTCAAGACATTGAAGAAGGAAATGTCTACTCAGGGAATTGCTACTTAGATTACTAGATTGTATGGACATTATTTTTGCTCCTCAATTGACAGCAGGCTTGATAGCCCAATTGTCTATTCTTACTGAAGAACATCACACACATTTCCAGAAAACCTTTCCTGACAGAAGGTTGTTGCCAAAACACCACTTTATGGTGCATTATCCAACGTGTTTGAGAGAAGTTGGGCCACTCATACATGTATGGTGTATGAGGTACGAAGCGAAACATCACTATTTTGGCCGTGTTGCAGAATCTGTGCGTAATTACAAAAACATTTGTAAATCACTTGCCAAAAAACATCAGACAGCACTAACGTTCCATCTTCAGTCAAACCATCCTTTGGAATATCTGGAGGTTGGGCCAGGTAGTTCACTACTTTTGTCAGATTTAGATGAAAATATTGGACAGATTGTGCAAGAGCAAATCCAAGTAGAGGATCTTTCTACTGAATTATTTGATGCCAACTGGGTTAAAGTACATGGAACACATTATCAGTTGTCACTTCTGGTCTGCCATGATGTTAGCGAGCTTCCTCTGTTTGGTCAAATAGAGCATATCATTGTACACAATAGCACTGTATTTTTTGTACTTGTCCAATTAGATACAGTGTATTACAATTCACACTATCATGCCTATGCAGTAGAATTTAGTTTTCCACGTTGTCATGTAGTGAAGAATCAAAAGGAACTTGTTGACTACAAACCACTAGATTTGATGACAACTTTGTCGAAGACAGACTCGAGGAAGTATGTAGCACCAAGGCATGTACTTTTTAAGTAATTTAAAGCTTTCAAGCTAATGTCTGGTTTTGCTTAGTGGTATCAATTGGTTTTAAAAATAATTTTGATCAATAATATTTTGGACTCTTAATTGTTAACATCTTTAAATTGGTTAATTCGAAACCAAATTGAAGTCAAATAGCTGTTGTATATTTTCTTTTTTTTTCTTACAAGAAAAACAATTCTATGATGTTTGTGCATGAAAGCCAGTGAACTAGAAGTGCATGGACTGATTTTTGTTGTTGTTGTTTATATCCTGTTGGAAAAACGAGCAGCGAATTAGTTGATATAGAAATGCATAATTTTACTTTTTGATTTTTTCTCCCAGGAGTAAAATGGGAAATACATGTTTGTAAACAGAAAGCTGTAAAAGAATGTTCACCTATATTAGAATGAATGTGGAATTTATAGTGTTTTTTTAATGTTTTTGAAACATTTGTTTAACCCTTTACAAGCAGTGAAGGAGATAAAAATCCCCTGAAATAATTAAATCATCCTGAATCTCAATGGTTGCAGGCCTGTGGTAAAAAAAAATCTTGTTAAACAAAACTGCTGGATAAGATTTGTTAGTTTTGCTATTGTTCTTGAAGGCTGCTTCCTAGCATAAGACATTAAAAAGCCTTACTATAATTAGTCTGCGAGCACAGACCATTGGCTTCGGTTTTGCAATTTGCATAGTGCACGATGTAAAATGGAATATGTTTGTAAACAGAAAGCTGTAAAAGAATGTTCACCTATATTAGAATGAATGTAGAATTTATAGTGTTTTTTCAATGTTTTTGAAACATTTGTTTAACCCTTTACAAGCAGTGAAGCTAGGAGATAAAAATCCCCTGAAATAATTAAATCATCCTGAATCTCAATGGTTGCAGGCCTGTGGTAAAAAAATCTTGTTCAACAAAACTGCTGGATGAGATTTGTTAGTGTTGCTATTGTTCTAGCATAAGAAATTAAAGTCATACTATAATTAGTCTGCGGGCACAGACCATTGGCTTCGGTTTTGCAATTTGCATAGTGCACGATGTAGAGTCTGCATTTAGAGACTACATATACACATACAGTTATGCTCCCTTTAAGGGATCATGATATGAGTGAAAGTAGTCTCTGACTGCAGACTCTGAAATATGCACTACGAAACTTGCGAAAAACCGAAGCCGAGAGTCTGCCTGCAGATTATACTAGCAGTTTCCAAGGTTTTTTTTTTTGGGGGGGGGGCACTCTGTATATTTCATATGAAAAAGATTCTGTGATATTTTCCTTCAGCATGCATGTACTAGGATTCAAGGTGAAATGTGTCAAAATTCTTATTAGCTACATAATTCACTCTGATGTAGAAGCATAATGTTTGTTGTTTTTTTTTGTTTTGTCTTCATTTATACATGCATTTTGCATCCTGTTTAGTTTCTATTTATTAGAAACGACTTTGATTTTTCATTCCTTGAAAGGAATTATGACATTGTTTAAAGTTTTTATATTGGAAAATTTTTAGTTACTTGTTTCATCCTTTTTTTTTTTTACTTATAAGGGTGGATTCATAATAACAGATTTTGAATGATTTTTAGTTACTTGTTTCATCCTTTTTTTTTTACTTATAAGGGTGGATTCATAATAACAGATTTTGAATGATTTAAAAAAGTGTGTTTTGTTGTATTCAGACAAATGAGTCACAGATTTTGAATACATGACAAAAGGATTTAATGTTGAACCATACAAGATAAAAACGCTAAGCATCATTGATTTCAACATGAATGAAAACAAGTTGTTTAATTTATTGATTAAACAAGCACCATGTGTTTTTGTTTACGAAAAAAAATTGTTTCTTTTCACTTCTTGTGTGTATTTGAATATTTTCTGTGCATGTGTTAAGATGGAGTGAGCTGGAATGAATTGTTGGTGTTGAAAGAATGGTGTGTTGAGTTTTTTAAACACTGAGACTAGCATTGAATTGCAATACCAAGAGTAGAAAAGTAGTAGACCTTTAGTGTTATATAACACCAAAAATAGGATTTATTGCAACACCGAAGAATGGTGCTGGATTTTATATTAACACCATAAATAGAATTGGATTGCAACACCAAGAGCAGAATTATACTATTTAATTCTAGAATTGGTGTAAAATAACACCAACAATAGAATTGAAGTGCAACACCAAGAGTAGAATTAAAATTATTTCATTCCAGGCGGTGGTGTTAAATAACACCAGAAATCAGATTCATTGTTACACCAGAAAATGGTGTAGGATTTTATATTAACACCAAAAATAGAATTGAATTGCAACACCAAGAGTAGAATTGAATCATTCAAATCCAGACCTTGGTGTTAAATAACACCAACTGGTGTTTTCCGATATAGATACCGGAATGGTGTTAATATTAACACCTATGGTGTTGAATTTAACACCACTGTTTTTGCAGTGTAGTGCAGGTCCAGGGACGTACTTGAGTCATAAAACATTATTTGATATAATATTTATTATTTGCATTTTGGATAAATTTGTGAATAATTTAACCCTTTTCTATGTGCCTATATGTACATGTACATGTGTACATTGAAGATAATCCAAAATTTGGGATTCTATCATTTCAACTGAACAGATTTTCAATTAAAACAAGTTTGAATATAATGAATGTAAAACATTACACACAGTATATACCCAAACTCCAATGGTACGCAACCATATACATGTATACAAAGTTTTGCTGGGAATCATGCAACCCTCTGCTGCATGGCTGTCTTGTTCTTTGGCATGCACTTGCCCCTCATCTGTCATCGCTTGCCTTCTGAGGGGCTGATCTCTTCTGCATGTGGTCCCCCTACATTTCTCTCCTCTAGTTATCCAAGTTCATTCCTACCTTTTTTTTCCCCCCTTTTCTATTCCCAGGGGTAAAAAGAGTTTTTAAAGTCAATTTGGAGTGTATGTTTTCGACCATTTATTTCCTGTCCCAGACACTTTTCTGAGCCAGTTTGAAGGATGATGAATTTCGCTACTGCTTACTGGGCAAAAGGAGAGAGTTATTTCGTGGGAAAGCTGCATTAAATAATAATAATACATAACATTTATTAGGCGCTTAATACTGATGTTTCTAAGCGCACAGTGTTCTGATTAAGAGAAGACTATAACCCGTAGAATTAAATTAGAAGAAAAAGCAAAAATACAAAAGTAACATAGATAAGGTAAGAAAAACAGTGGCAATCAACTAAATAAAGACAAATATGGTGCGCACCTCCATTGACCGACGCACAACTGCAATTTACAATTTGAAAAGATAGGTTTTGAGTAGAGATTTGAATTGAGATACAGAGGGGGCGCAGTGAATAAAGGCGGGCAGTTTGTTCCAGAGAGCGGGGGCAATAACTGAAAAGGCGCGGTCACCATACCGGGTGTTAGTGCGGGGTCCAGGTGTTAACAGTAATGTGGAAGATGAACGAAGTGTTCGTGACGACGTACGGGAACGTAAGGATATGAGATCGGAAAGGTAAGAGGGGGCTAAGCCATTGATAGCTTTGTAGCACAGGAGAAGAATTTTGAAGGATATGCGGTGGTGAATTTTAAGCCAATGTAGTGAGTTCAATATTGGAGTTATGTGCTCTGATTTACGCGAGAGAGTCACAAGCCGAGCAGCGCTATTCTGTACCCTTTGAAGTGGGACTAGATGTGACTGAGGGAGGCCAGAAAGAGAAGAATTACAGTAATCGATATGGGTCGAGACAAAAGCATGGACTAATTTTGAAGTTGTGGGTCGGTCAAGTAGCCTCCTGATTCTACTGATCTTATATATACCAAAGGAAGCAGACTTACAAATATTACTAATGTGTTGTTTTATGACTGAACGCAATTTGTCCTTCAGGGAGGGGGGGGGGGACACAAAACAGAGTGAAACAGACAAAAATTATGAACATTAGGTCTACTGATGATATAATCAGAATAAGAAGATTGAAGATTGAATAGCAATATTGGTCTATCAATAATTAATTGACAGATATACTGTATGGATCAAGGCACAAATCCTTTTTATAATACAAAATAGGACAATTACAATGTAGCTTGGAAGTACAATTTGATGACTTCATTTTCTCACATGAACATAGCCTTGTTGAAAAAGCACTGTAAACTGTTTACAACCTATCCAATTGTTTCAGAAATATTATTACTAGAAATTCCTCACAAAATAGGCCCATTTACACAGCCCCAAAACTATTCTTAAGAGCCATTGTTTTTCTTCTTTTTTTACTGCCATTTAAACTTTCTGGTGTTCTGGTGAGTTGTACACAATTTTTGCTGCTCTGCATGCAATCACATGGAAGAGAAAAGAGTCACATGACCAAAAACAGGAATAATTCACCAGTGTTTTGACAGCGAGCATTTATACTGCAAAAAAAGGTGGATTTTTTGTTGTCATTTCAAAAAACCACCTCAGAGGTGAACTTTTTGTTGTGCGTATCGGTAGTTGCCTAGCAACTTACGACAACAAACAGGAATGTGAGAAGAAAAAAAAAACAGTTGTTGCTTGCAGTGTGAATGCAGCTAATATTGATGGTTCGTGTAAGTTGGCATTCTTCCACTATCATTTCTGTCAAACTAAAGTTCACGAAAATCTGTAAACATATCGCTCTGGAGAACATATTTTGTTCTTCTAGTTCTGTAGATCTAAACATTGGGTTGTTAGACATTCAATAACAATGACCACCATGCCAGGGTAATGTCAAATACAAGGTTATCAACAATGTCATCAGGGTTTGTTACACAGATTGTGATTGTGGGTATTTGCAAACTTTTGGAATACAGACTTTTTAAACTGGAGAGAAATGATATACTGTAACATCAATGTGAATATTCAAGCTCTTATAATGGGCCATTCCATGGTAACTCGCGTTACACCTAATGGGTACATTGACACGATAATGTGCCTATATCTTTAGAACTGCTAGGATCTGCAAGATACTTTTTTCAAACATGGACAGGGTAGATATAGAACAACTGAATGAAACAAAAAAGAAAATTGAAGAACAAACATTTTTAGATTCTTGGATTATTGAATTTTGGTAACTCGCGTTACAAAAAAAGGACATGGTCAATTCTATGAGACCCTCTTTTGGCAAAGTCTCCTCATACTAGACAATCTTGACAAAATCTTTCCTACGTTGATAGTAGGTTGAGACTTACTAGTATAAGATCACAATATTAAAGATAAGAAACAATGGACTAGTAAAATGCAGGAAGCAAATATGTCGGTAACTCACGTTACGGTAACTCGCGTTACATTTTGTCCGGAGGCCATTTTCACCCCTATGTAATAGATTAAATATCCCAGGACCCCTTAGAAAAGGCTTAGAATATGGAAATATATTCATCTTTTTCAATTTAGCGAAATTTTCAGGAAAAAATATTACAAGAATCCTGTGTAATCTGCAATAAATTGTTTTTTTTTTTCATCTACAGTCCCACATGTACGTTTTTGATGATGGTTTGAGATCTTAGGAAATCAACAAAAATGAAAAATAAATTGTATTGAATTTGAAAGGCCCTAATGTTTTATGAACATCCATGGCATAAGGTTAGTGATAAATCAAAAAATTAACATAAGAGGTACATTTCTTTTTTTGATGTCATGTCCTTCTTCTCATGGAATGGCCCTAATAATTTTTGCCAAGGCCCAGTATGTAAATATTTGTTAATCTTTCATTGCTGGATAAAATAGTATTCACAGTAGTATCTCATACTTAATATTCCAATTAAAGAAGTAAAACCTTCTCAGCACATAATCATCTTGCTATGAAATAATGTTAAAAAAACATTGAGAGGATGGTGTTGGGGGGGGGGGGGAGGAAGCTTGCAAAATTCTTTAATGCCTTTCAATAGTAATGATTCCATACTGTACATATGTACATGTAGCTTCATATGCATGTACATTGAAGATGTATGTTGACGATGTAGTTGATATCACCCAAGAGCTGATAGCTGAAACTCTCTGCTTGACATCAAATAGATTGAAGTGAAGCCAGGCAGAAAATTAGAATGTCAATGTTCTCAGCATTTCCTTTTCCTTTTAAACCATCCACCCTTGATAGCCATCACTCATTTGTTATGAATGCAATATGAATGGCAAAGGGGGAAGTGATAGATTTAAGGGGGTGTGGGGTGCAATCCCCCTTCCCCCCCCCCCCCCACACACACACACATTCCTAATTGTTGCAATTTGCAAATCAAATCATTTTACTCTTGTGGCCTTGTCAGCTTTTTTTTAATCATTGAAAAATAAAAGAATTAAAAAGAATTTCATCCCAAATTGATATTCAAAGTTGTACTCTGAGAATTTTAAGATGTATTGCACACTTTCAAAACGAGAGATCTATGTTCATGTTCACAAAAGTACACATTATCTGCGGCTGACTATTCAAAGCAATTTCCATAGTTTCCTATAAACAGAAATATCAAATAAAAACCTGTAAGTCAGGACTGTATACTCAAAAATCAAAACCTGCATACTCAAATATCAAAACCTGCATACTCAAATATCAAAACCAAACAGTTCTTTCAAAATCCATCAAAAGAGCTCATCTGTAATTCAACAGCGATTGCCTGAGGATAATTTGAATGCCGTTGAGAGGTTTTAGCTGATAAGCTGCTTGTCCATACCCCCACTTTGACAACCAAGTGTAGTAATATTTTATGACCAAAAATTTTCTCTCCCTACGCACCTACCGTAGATCTAACCCATACTTTCCCTTTGTCAAAATTCATGTACAAAGAAAAAAGACGTTCATATTTTAAGTCTTATTAGTATTCCTTCTGTCAAAACGTGAAAGCTCATTGAATTTAAAATAAAGGCATGTTTACCTTGGAATAATACTTGCGCTGATTACAAGCGTCCAGGGCATTCTTTTCCTAAAAAGTCATCGTGCTAATCACATGATCCCGCGACCTTCCACGACTGTTTTCTCAATTCACACTGGCAATTAGGACTTCTGCAAATGGAGGAATCGTGCCCCTGAGACTGCACGTTGGTTAAGCCCCATGGCTAATCATGGTACTAGACTTGTGCAAACATCCCAAAATATTTCTGCATAATATTTACTTTAAGGCAATGAAATGATTTATTTAAACCCCCCCCCCCCCCTCTCCCGGGGGAAAATAATATGGATACATTAAGAAAACACATAAGAGAAACGCAATGTGACAATTAAGTGAGCTAAAAGAATAACATGAACATCTTCTACAAGTTACAAAAGAGCTAGACATTAAGCTCTGTATCAAATGATATGAGTTAACAACCTTCTGGCTCCTGGTCGATGATGTACATGTATACTCATTACATGTATTTTGAAAATATTTGTCACATAACCCATATTTGCTCAAGAATGATGAACATTCAAGTACCACAAATATCCAAAAAGCCCCAAGATCTTTACACAGCTTATATTTTTCTCCTAATATCCCCCCCCCCCTCCTCCTCTCTTCTCCTTCTCTTTCTAGTTCTCTATCTCTATCTCTTTCTCTATCTCTTTCTCTGTCTCTCTTCCTTTTTCCGTCCTTTTCTCTCTCAATTTATCTCTGTCCCTCTTCCTCTCCATCTCCCTTATTCTTTCCTACTGTATTATTCTGCTTCCTCACTTCTTCCTTCCAATCAACTCAGGTGGATAAATTCATGTACGAACAAGAAGTTTAAAGAGAAGGTTGAGTTCTGGGAAGAGGTGAAAAATAATTTGTGAGCATTACTCATTCTTATTATGCAAGCGTGGAAGAACATCAGTTAAGACATGTTCCCTGAAAAGCATGGCTCTTCAAATGCCTTCATATTCTAAATATGCATGTAACATCGTAAAAATCGGGGGGCCGGTTTTTTACGCCACGTGTTCGTGTAGTCCCATATACATCTTTCTGTGCAAGTGTTTGTAACTTTACAAAGACTTGGCCAAATTTCTTATCATTTTGATGATTCCAGAACCTTGCAATACACACAAATTCTTATATGCTAGATGATCAACCTTTTCTGGTCGGTTCCACACCGTTTCTTTCTCAATGCAATCGCATGACCATAACTCAACTTTATCTTTAAACAAAAAATGCACTTGTATTTTAAGTCTTATTAGTATTCCTTTTGTAAAAATAAGGAAAAGCATTCAATTTGGAATAAAAGCATGTTCACCTTGTAATAATACCTGTGCTGATTACAAGCGTCTAGGGCATTATTTTCCTTATAAGTAATTTTGCTAATCTCTGAAATTCAAATAATGCACTACTATTTTCACACTCTGAAGAGAGTCTGATTTTGTATTTGTGAATTTTAGATACGTTGTATACATCAGAATTTGTTGTTATTATTATCTATTTCTCATTAGTGTTGTCATGGTTACTCACCACTGTTGCCACACTCCGCACATGAGAGGAGATCCTCTGGCTTGCCTTCTCTGTTGCATTCAGCTGTCCCATGACATGACCTACACACCAGTATAGGCTCTGCAATGGGCCGCTCATCCTGTAAATAGAAAAATTAAGAAAAGGAATTGATTATTCATGTTGAATCTAATTGATTTTTTAAAGATGGTTTATTCACAATATTTGCAATTGCATCTATTCATGAATATCATTGACTGGTCTGATACATTGCAAATGGGGACACATGCTGTAGGTTTGTCACAATAACCAAGAAAAAGAATACCATTGAAAGGTCCACTGCACTACTTGTAGCTACTTGCACCCTCTATATAACAAACAATGCCTAATCGGTGACCATTGGTCCCCCATGATCCTCTTTTTCTTATGTTAACTGAGAGCCGAGTTGATGAGATAACCACCTGTTCAGTGACCTTGCAGGGCGGTCTAATCCCTCCTGTAAACTATGGCAGATAAGCTTTAAATGAAGATAACTTCAAAGGCATTTTAATTGTCTTGGTGATAATACTAAGATTGCCACAAGAGTGACTTTTTGCAAGAATGAAAAGTTGAACAAACTTTAACATTCCTTCGCATAGATGAGGACTACAGAGAAATGCCTCTAAGAAAATGCTTGGTTCGTTCAACTTAACAACAATCCACAAACACTGGTCATCTTACACCAGTCTGCGGTAAGAATCAGACAATTTCAAAAGCACATCACGGTTTGGGTTTAATTGAGTGGTGAAAGAGCAAATCTGGCAGGAAAAAATCTTGATACACACTGCACTGTAAGAAGCATTTTCTAAATGCATTTGCCTACGATGTAATAATAAATATGACTTTACTTTACATATTTATAAATTGACATGTAAGTACAGTCAAACCTGTCTGGTAGTGTAGTAGTTCTTTACACTGCCTTCATGAAAATAGTTCAATTCTAGAAACATGTGATTGTGTGAACAGAGCTCTAAGAAGGCAAACTTGTGACACAGACAGTTTAGCTAGAGGTCATGACCTTTGACACTGGGGCTTCTTGCAGCGTGTCCACACACAAAACAATTTATCCTGAAACTCTATAACGAAACGTCATATAAAGAATCATCGTATAAATTTCAGAGTGTCCACACACAAGAAACGTCGTATAAATAATCATCGTATAAATTCCAGGATGTCCACACACAGAAGAAAGTAATCCTGAAACTCTACAGCGAAATGTCGTATACATGTACATGTACACTGTAGGTGCGCAGTTTGCTACTGCGCTCATGAAATGGAAGCGGAAATGAGAGGTCTGGTCTCCTTTCGCTCGAGGTCACGTTAAGCCCCGCCCAGTTAGTTACACTAGTTAGACTCCCCCTGTCCACACACGACATTTTCCTTGATTAGGCGTGATTAGGCGTGATTCTTTATTGAGTTTCAGTTCGAAACGATGCCCAAACCTGCGTTTCGTTAGACTAGTTTCGTTATACGACGTATCGTTAGTGAGCGTCCACACACACAATTTTCATCGTAAAACTATCGCGAAACGGTATAGCTAATCACGCCTAATCACGGAAAATGTTGTGTGTGGACAGGGGGTTGGTTGCCATGAGGTCAAAGTAGATCAACTTCAAGGACAGAATGTTGACTGTTACACTGCAAGTGCAACTTGTTTACTCTGATCAAACAACAGAAAAGTAGAAGCATCTTTATTTGACTCTCGAGATGGACTCTCACTACAACAAACTTCAAGGAATGCAAGGTTGGGGTAGAAGATTCATATTACAAAAGGCCTGCCTTCATCAGCTTGAGATTACCAAATAACCCGCTATTTTAACTGTCCCGATCGCAAAATTATCCAGCTAATTTGAGTCTTCATCAGCCCGCAGTTGCAATTAGCGGGATATCTGGATATCTAGTTGGCAAAATATTCCGCTAAATGTCCGGTGCATCTTCACCAGCCCGAAGAATAGCACTATGCGCGAACGCTGTGCAAAATATCTCAAGATAATTTCTCGTGCTCGAGTTTCGAGCTGATGACGACGCGATTTACTTAAGGCTTATTTCCAAAATCAGAAATACCGGGATATTTGGCGATCTTGAGCTGATGAGGACATACCTAAACAGAAGGTTGTTAAGAACATTTTAAAGTCACAAGATCGTTCTCTCAAGGGAGATGGTACATATAAATAGACCTATGTGCTAAAAATACATGTAAAGAACACTCTCTTGATGGCTTACTTTGAATCATCAGGTCATCGCTTTAGGTCGGGTGGTCGTGTTACCCAACCTTTTGTGAAGAAATGCCCCTTATTCATGAAATGTTGGGGTAATGACGTCTGTGAAATAAAGCCCTCTCATCTACAAATGGTTGTGTCCAATTTTACCTGACACTTTGTGAAATCTAAATGCTAATCTACGAAAGGTTGCATCCTTAACGTGCATCTTCACATGATCTTCCGCTTTCGTTTCATGAAAGGTCGTGTAACACTCTGACGGGACGTGATGACCCAATGATTGGATTTTAGCCAGCTTGATGATTTTGATCCAAATACTTGCAGGGATATTGTATCAAGAATATATACCGTATTCAAAGTGCCATTTGTGATCAAAGATCAAAAGCAATGGAATAATCCCTGGCAGTCTGTTTCATTTTTGTTTTTGAATTGTTTTGTTTTATTTCAATTTTGTATAGAAGAATAAATAACGACAGGAATTTTCTGTGGTCTATCTTCAAAACAAATTATCATCTGGAAGGTATCGATTTACAGCATTTGTAATTCGAAACAAGCATAACCTGCCGTTGACAATCATTTCAAAGATTTTGGCACTGAGATGACTCTTCCTGGCACAAAAAGCATAAATTGTAATATGTTGTGTGCCAAAAGGGTGTTAACTAGTATAAAAGAATATGGGTTAATGTCCTTTCTGCCTCTCAGCACACGTTATGTTGGCCTACTGACACCACCATCCTGGTTTCTTGCCAATTCCTCAGCATTCCAATTTCCAAGAGAAAACATGAAACTTCTTGATGGATCAGCCAGCCAGTGTTAAGGATGTATTTCAAATGGATACATCATTCAGCACACATTAAAGCAATTGTATAATGAGACTGTGAGGTTTATGTAGAGTTGTTTGGCAGCAGTATGTGTTTGGGGGCACTGATCAAAGAAAACACTTGTATAAATGAGAAAATCAAAAAAAAAGAAAACACTTGTATAATGAGAAAATCAAAAACTTCCAAGTACAAGAAAAGTGTGTCCTATGGCTACATTGTGCCAAGGAGTGCTGGTAACTCCTCGATTGTACACACATTTTTAACTTCACCTCCACTGTACTCCAGACAATAACAAAAATTGCCATTTAATAGAGATTAGAGAAGTTTAGAATTGTTGATGTAGAGATGTTTTTTAAGATTAAAAATTTCAACCACCCATTCATTTTCTTCTTCACACTTAAAACATGTGGATTCCCACATGCAATGTGTGAAGAGGCATCTCAAAATGGAGGAAGCCCTTGTCTGTACATGTACTTTATTTTTCGACACAAATATCTTATATCCAAAATGCAATATTTAATTGTAAAATAGTCCAATAATACACTTTACAAGCATGTAATATAACCGTACTGTACCTTTAATATTTGAAATCTAAAATATGGCCTACATGCAGTGACATTGTGCTCTCCTCAATAATATTATTACTGTAGGCCTCACTTGCCACGTTTAGCCTACAGTAGTACACTGTGTGAAAATAAAACATATCATATCACCTCACACTGTGAAGGCCCTAGCGGCAATTTGTGATATGATTTGATGTCGATGAAGATAAAGGTATTTTTTATGGGGTGTTAATAACCTGTCTGGCTATGAAATGCCTTATCTCTAGAATGCATCTCTAATTTCCTAGTCAATTGACTCAATTCTTCATTCAAAAGGGGGGAAATGGCAGGAATCGGACCATTCTGAGAAACAACCCCCACATCCTCTAATTCATGTTTCCGTTCAATTGAGGCGGCAGATGAATGTGTAGGGGAACCGTAATGTGCGAGTGTGCTATGATAATGTACAACAAATCATGCAGTGTGTACATGTATGTGTCAGTGTCACAGTAAATACATGTAGATAGGTTAAAGGTATAAGTCAGTGCAATTTGTAAATACATTGATCTGCAGTAATGAGTCTATTAAAGGAAAGCAGTTATCCTTGATCATGTTTTTATGTTTAAAAAGGGAAGGTATAACATTCATATAGGAATTCAACTTACAGCCTAGTATAAGAGCAGCCAGTAATCACTTCTTGAATTACATCTGTCAAATCTAAAACATAGACTACATTTATAAGAAGGCAACAATGTCAAGATGTATTATCTTACCACATTTTAAAAGAATGTAGAGAGACATATAGACCAACATGTCTGTAATGAAACCACAAAAGGACCTTTAAACCTAGCTGACAAATTATTACTACAATTTTTTTTCACAGAAACAGCATTAAACTGAACACTACTACGTGGGCGGTGACAGCACTCAGGGCACAGTAAATATGAGTATTGATGCCTTGTTTACAAAGCACACATATCATGCTCTCCAAGGGCAAATGTGAGCATGTTTTCCATGATTCTATACATTGGGGATAAACATGAGATGGCATTTTCACAAAAATGGATGTTAACTTGAATAGACCCTTTTTGAGTAGTACTGCAAGAGGAATTATTTGATTGACAGTTTTGAGCGGTAAAGTGAAGAATATTTTTTCTGCTTTGTATGGCAAACCTCAGACAAAAGAAAAGCCTACAGGATGCCTAATGAGTCTAATGCCAATGTAGTCCATATCCAACCATAAACATCAATTCAAGGGAATGATATGCAACACCGGCATTTACATTTCAGAGAAAAACGTTAAACGTTCAAATACATTGTAAATCTCTTTTTAGTGAGATAACAAATAACTTTGAAATCTAAACAGCAAGATATTTTTCCATTCCTCATTTACATGTAATACCCAATACGACTTTTCTATTGGCATCTTAGGAAGTTAACCTTTCAGAACAAAACTCCCTTTCAATAGAAATTAGCTTGGGCAAATTAGCCCCCGAAATGCCCCAAAGAGCCCCCGAAAGT